CCTTTTTTTGTAGTTTTTTTTTAACATTCACCCTGTGCTAGCTGCTTATCGTTATGCTACTGCTCAGATGGAGCTAGTGTGACCAGACGTCCCTTTTTACTCGGGACAGTTCCAGTTTTGAGCCCCGTGTCCCCTGTTTCAGCAGATTTATCCAAAACCACTGATTTGTCCCAGTTTTATACAAGAAATGTCCCAAGGGTCCCTATTTTTGACCAATTTGATCTCTTCCAACAGTAAAGAGAGGCATAAATTGTCATTTGTTTATCTCAGCGAGGGTGAACTGGTGAAAGCGGGTGTTTAGTAGATAGATTAGATTTATTGTCATTGTACAAAATATAACAAAGCTTCAACAGAGCAAAACTGCAGCAGTAAAAATGAATTAATATAGATACTCACATCCATACTAATAAAAACATTAAATAAATAAATAGATTATTGCATCAGTCCCTTCCCTTGTGGGTAGAAGCTGTTGCACAGACTAGTTTCTAAGTCGGAATCTATCATAGACTGTATATATAAATGGACTTGGGGGTCAGCTCTATGTTCCCACAGATCCATGTTCCCACAGTTCTATGTTCCCACAACTCTATGTTCCCTCAGCTTTATGTTCTCACAGCCCTTTGCTCCCTCAGCTCTATGTTCCCACAGCCCTATGTTCCACAGCTCCTATGTTCCCCAGCTCTTCCCACAGCTCTATGTTCCCTCAGCTCTATGTTCCCTCAGCCCTATGTTCCCACAGCTCTATGTTTCCACAGCTCCAGTGTTCCACAGCCCTATGTTCCCACAGCCCTATGTTCCCATCAGCTCTATGTTCCCACAGCTCTATGTTCCACAGCTCTATGTTCCCTCAGCTCTATGTTCCTCAGCTCTATGTTCCCACAGCTCTATGTTCCACAGCTCCATGTTCCACAGCTCTATGTTCCCACAGCTCTATGTTCCCACCTCTATGTTCCACAGCTCTATGTTTCCCCTCAGCTCTATGTTCCCACAGCCCTATGTTCCCACAGCCCTATGTTCCCACAGCTCTATGTTCCCACAGCTCTATGTTCCCACAGCTCTATGTTCCCACAGCTCCATGTTTCCACAGCTCTATGTTCCCACAGCTCTATGTTCCCACAGCTCTATGTTCACACAGCTCTATGTTCACACAGCTCTACGTTCCCTCAGCTCTACATTCCCTCAGCTCTGTGTTCCCTCATTTCTATGTTACCACAGCCCTATGTTCGTACAACTATATGTTCCCACAGCTCTATGTTCCCTCATTTCTAAGATTTTTCTTATTTGTAAGATTTTTCTCAAAACTAAACTCTAATTCAAATCATGTTTATTTTTATACCGCATTTAAGGGGATGATTCATTTCAGCCTAGGATCCTTTGCACCACGACTTCGACATTACATCTGTAGTCTACTGCTGCTGGATAATAATAATAAGTTGGGTGTAACTGACGACCAAATTGGGAGAAATGGGGATAAAATCTGATGCAAATTGATAATAAAGGAAATGTGGGAACAAAGGGCTTAATTTTGGAAAGGAAAAAAAATACTAAATTGAGGGAACACAGGGCTGTGGGAACATAGGCACGCTCCCATGGACATAGCTAACCCGAAGGAAGTGAGCATGGGAACGCTTCTGGCTCCATCAATTCTGGTTCCAGCTGACTTTACATTGAAAAACTGTCACCCTTCTCTGACTGCTGCAATGAGCCTCATCATTTTGATCTTAAAACGTTCTAACTAAACCGCTCTGTATGATCCTGGTGTTTTTATTTCACTATTTTGTTCTTAAATAAATTCCTATTTCAAATATGGAACTAACAGATGCTAACATCACACTCCCTTGGTCCACTTCTTTATGCAGTCTATGGAATGTACTTTTTTTTTTCTTTTCTTACAAATCCCTCTGTAGCTGCTGCTTGTCGCTGTGCTAGTCCTCAGATGGAGCGAACACAAAGTGCGTGTTTTGATGCAAGGCTCCACAACGGGAACAGCAGGCATCAAGCAGAATAAAAATGTTACTGCTGCCATTGTCCATCTGTGTCTTGTCTGTGTGAGAGATAGAGCTAGACAATGGAGGAGCAGCATATGTGAGGATCCGTGCCTGACTAAGCACATCTCTCAAAAGTGGCTATTTGCCTCAATAAACCCGTCTCCTCTTGACTTTGATACACAGAAATGCAAGTAATTATACTATTTTTTACAGCTAGCTTGGGGATTAATTTTCTTTGATGTCTAGGGAGTACCTGTAGGCTTGCAGATAGCATTTTTGAACTGAAAGTTAGAAAAAAATCCAAGACACAATGGAGGCTTTTCATCATCCTCAAAGCAAAACACAGCACTGATGGTTGTATTTCTAGGCATGGAAAACTAAAACTTCTGCTGCTCGCAAAGAGGACAACAAAATAAAAAGTGACAAATGTGAAGAGCTACAAAGATATGCAACAAAGGTAGTAATATTTTCTTTCTTTATGTTAGGCTAAGTTATATTTATTGTTCACTTGATTGGCAAATATTTACTCATAGTCTACGTTTTACTTGTAGCTGTAATTAAGACAGTTTTAAGTTTTAATAGGCTTTTAATATAGGCTACACCAGGGGTCCCCAACCTCCGGGCCGGGGACTGGTACCAGGCTGGGTCGTTTGGTACCGGGCCGTGAAAGTGCGAACCCCCTCCCATACGTTGACCGCATGGACCGTCCCCCCTCCCGTACGTCGCATGGACCATCCCCCCTCCCTTAAGTTGCGTGGACCGTTCCCTCTCCCATACATCGCGCAGACCGTCCCCCCTCCTGTATGTCACATGGACCATCCCCCCTCCCGTAAGTCACGTGGACCGTCCCCCCTCCCATACGTCACGTGGACTATTTCCCCTCCCGTAAGTCACGTGGACCGTCCCCCCTTCCGTACGTCACGTGGACTATCTCCCCTCCCGTAAGTTGCGCAGACCATCCCTCCTCCTGTACGTCCTCCAGGCTGCCCCACTAAACCAGGTCTAAACCAGATCTAAACCAGTTCTAAACCAGATCTAAACCAGTTCTAAACCAGGTCTAAGCCAGATCTAAACCAGTTCTAAACCAGGTCTAAGCCAGTTCTAAACCAGGTCTAAGCCAGATCTAAAACCAGGTTTAAAACCAGGACTAAAACAGGATTTAGCCAGGACTTAACCATGCTGCCGGACCGCCCATGGCCCCTCCACCCATACGCACACCCCCCCATATATAATCGGTCCGTAGCACAAAAGAAGTTGGGGATCACTGGGCTACACATTTGAATTTGTAGGCTTCATGTTTTATTACTTAAAATAGTATACACATAGGCCCTATGGTATGGAAAAAATCTTCTTTTACAGCTCTTCCTCCATCCCTGTCCCTTTGAGCACCGAGATTAAAGGCAGAGTACCTGGTTTTATTTTTAGTTTTGAAAAATGCCTGATGCACCATGCAGTGCACTGTAAAAAGCAGCTATTTGGCAGCCACAAATAGACAAACGAAAATCCATTTTGTACAGTTAAGCACATTGTTCCATGGGAACAAGGTATTAGCAACATCCAATATCAGACTGAGATAAGGGACTATATGGGTGGAGGAACAGTTCAGTTTTTAGTAAAGTATGTTCGTCACTCACTACATTTAAGCGCAATAAACAACAAAATTCAAACAGTTTTTTCCCCAAAACATGTCAGGCCATTCTCATCCCAGTCTACATGCAGATCACAGAACCAAAGAGGTGCAAACACCTAAGACGTTCAAGTTTGTCTAGTAAGTCTACTAAGTCTAGCAAAAGCACTAAAACTTTGCATCTGTAATTGCTTTTGGCTCTCATTATATAACCTCACTTTTGCCAGAAATAGATAAGCAATATAAAAATAGCACATGTCTATTAAATTCCTTGTGTTCTCTTATCCTGTGCAGTTGAATGCCTCCTAATGTAAATCTATTACATACAATTTACATACAATTTACATACATTTAATTACTTACTTGTCTTTTTATATATCTGAGAGAATGCAAACCTGGCATCTGCATGTAAACCTCCCACGTTTACATGTATTTTGAAAAATTTAATTGGACTAGGCCAGTTATGTGGTTTTCCTGCATGGTGTGCATGTTAATATACAAACTCATGGTCTAAAATAGAGTACAATGCCTGTAAGACACAATGGTTAAAGGTGCACTATGTAACTTTTCGTTTCAGAGTCTGTCATAGTTTTGTTATTTCTCTGCTTCAAATGTTTCACAATACAACATTAAACAGCTCCACTTTACATTTATTCAATTACAGGTGGTTTTATATTTCAAAAATATCTAGAAAAGCAAGCTGTGACTGTGCCTCTCCACAGATCTGACCAGGAACTTGGCCTGGTTTGGTCTCCATGTTTGATATCATAAGTTTCTGGTTGCTGTATAAGAAAAGAAGAGGTGAGGACCACAAGAGCGTTTTCTAAAGGCTTAAGATAAACACATACAGCGCTGTGGCTCTACAGCCTACATGCAACGACAGAGACTGAGTCTCAGGAACGGACAGTTTTTATACCCTGGTGGTGTACTACAGGTGTAAGGATCATGTCAGACAGAGTGATAAATACATGGTCAGGCAACAGCTGTAGTCGTAAAAGTGTACTGTGACAATTTTACTTTAGCAACAACAAATGGTCTATTTCATATACATTCAAAAACATAATTTTAGGAAATAACAGACTTACTCTCATATTCCTTACATTAAGTTTGTTTGTCCTTCAACTAACATTAAAAAAAACATGCCATCAATGATGATAGAAAGGCTTAATGCCATTCTGTGGAACATTTCTGACAAAGCAACAACATCTCCATGGAGAAAAGCAAGTAGCGAATCCTCCACCTGAAATGTTACACAATGCACTTTTAAGAGTTGTGCCTCATACTTAGATGCTCTTTTCTGCTTTTCAGTGCTTTATAAGTTTGTTTTTAGCCTAACCACAAGAAAAAAAACCTCACACACAACTTTCCTCCCAGATCCCTCTCACCTGTGTCACTTTCTCTGTCACATTGTGCGTCCTCTCCTTGACTTTGGGGGCGATGATGGGCTTCTCGGACGTGGGCGGAGAATGCGTCTTCTTCTCCGTCGTCTCGGTGAAGTTGAGTGCGATCAGGGGTATTTTGTTGATGGTGCTGTACTTGTTGATGTTAGAATCCGAAGTGGAACCAAGCAGACTTGACTTGACGTGATTGAAAGGCCCTGGCAGGTACAGCACAAAAGCACATTATTGGTATTATTAGCATACTCGCAAATAAACCACGAGTTTAATGCGATGACGCACACGCAATGTCAAAAGAGACTTGAAATTGAGAGTTCTAAGTGCACTTAAAGCATACATTAGAGAAAGGCTTTTGTCACTGGGGATAAGTAAATAGAGCTTTCTATACAGTACCTGACTAAGAGACTTTAATTAGACCTAATGAAATATTTAGAGGATTAGCTTGGAGATGCAGAGTGAGCCTTTGAAACACACAATTCTACCTGTAGGGGTTAATCACAAGCACTGCATGCATTCACCTCAGAGTATACTGTACACACATTATGTAAAGGGGAACTTCGTCTTGTAATAATCCAAAAGGTGTTATAGGCTGATAGTGGAGAGTGTGGTTGGTTAAAGGTAAGGTTATGAAACAGTAATAGAACCTACATCTGCTTACACAGATTAGATAATATTGTATCGTAAGTTAGGTTATATCCAAAAGGTCTTCTTCTGGAAAGCATTTTGAATTACTTTGTGTACAAACTGTGTTGCCTTGGCTTGCCTTGATAATGTAAGAGAAATGCATTCAAAGTGTAAAAACGCACTCAAGTAGAAACTAAAAACTAGTGACCTAAAAAGTCAAGAAACTATGAAATATGAAGTAACTATCTGAATGTTACATATGCTCATAGATTGTATAAAAGAAGTGGACTAAGCGAGTGTGATGTCACCCACAGCGTTCAAGGCCGCTCAAATGAGGCTCGCGAAGCTCACGGTTACAGGAGCGAATCTGGAGCCACACTCTATGTTATGAAAAAAAAAAATTCAGGATCATGTGTCGCGGGTTAATACGAACGTTTTAAGACCAAAATGACGAGGCTCACTGCAGCAGTTATAAAGAGGAGCCACAAGATCCAAATGTAAGTCAATTTGAGCCAGGGTCAGAAGGAGCCGAAAGAGCCTCCTGGCGAACTTCCTCTTTGGCACTTGGCGGCAACTATGCTATGTCCACGCATATATATAGTCTATGCATATGACAAACAAAAATGATTGAGGTTCATTTGGTCTTCTGGTAATTTATGTTATAGGTTCTTGTTTCAGATCAAGAGTTTTTCATACCTGACAGTTTCGACGGCTCTCTAATGGTCTTATAGTGGTCATATGATGTTGTTGTGACGTGTCCGGTCAGCTGATTTATACAGATTTTGGCGCCGTCTTCCAGCTGACCGGACACGTCACAGCAAAATCACGTGACCACTCTGAGGAAGACCGCGAGTCAGCAGCCGAAACTGTCAGGTATGAAAAACAAACTCTTGGTCTGAGAAAATAACCTAATAAGAAAAATGACTGTGATCTCATCCTTTGACAATATTTGTTGAAAACATTTCTCAAGTAAATGTAATAAATGTTATGACCAAAGGATGGAGATTTTTTTTAATTTAAATTTAATTTCTAATTTAATTAATTAATTTATTTATTGTTTTATTTCTATTCTATGATTTTGTTCTTATTTTATTTTACTGGTTTTATTATTTTAACACTAGTATTATTTTAGTAGTTTATTTTATCATTTTATTATTGTTGTTATTATTATATATTTGTGCAGCACTTTGGAAGCTGTGAAATGTGCTATAGAAATTAAGTGGATTGGATTGGACTCAAATTTTGTATTGCTAATATACTGGAAATAAATGTAGTTTGACAATAGCAGAAAAAAGTGTTGGATTTTAAAAGGATCATAAAAATATTGAGGATATTTAGAAAGTTTGGTCAGCTAATTTGTATTTAACAGGCTGGGGTAAATAGGTACATTGATACCAACTACATTTGTATAGTATAATCTAAGAACATCAGTATTCAGTTGTTGCCGCCTCTCTCCTGCTAAGGCTTGTCCTTATGTTTTTGGTTTATTCAATAGTGACTGTATGTTAACATCTGCCTGTGCCAAACTATTGCTTCAACTTCATGCATATTTCATAATCACAATTGCATCACCAATAGAAGGTTTTCAGGGTAGTCCTTGAGTGCAGATAAATATTTTCGAAGGTGAGCTCTGAGCTGGCAGGTGTAGTGTAGTGAGCTAAAAAACATTCTTTTTCAGAGTTTGCTGTTGTCAGAGACGGGAGTGCGGTTTTAATGTAGTTGGAATCTAACACATTTCGGTGGTGTTATTTTATATAGGAAGTACATACTGTAAATAAAAGATAAAAGTGATACGACTTTATGCAATTGAACTCTAAAGCACATGGATTCTCCATCTCTATATAAACCATAAATAGTTTATGAGGTGCAGTAAATATATACCACAATGAAACACACCTGTATCGTAGAGTAGTTAATACTATAGTTAATACATCATCACGAATTTCAGACTTCCGGTCATCGCGCAATGCACACTGGGAGGGATCCTCCGAAAAAGTGAGCATCAAACCACCATGTATGATTGATGCTTCTATTGTCAAAGCCAATCTTTTGAAGTCTTTTGAACCATATCGCTTTTGTTTCTGGTTTTGATATTGTCATATTTTAGTTATGGGATTCGGAAGTTTGCGAACTCCATAAATGCAAAAGGGAATCAGATGTGTGTGACTGCAAACCTCTGTTCAAACTGTTTCCCTTTCCAACGGAATTGAAAAATAGTGAAGGTGAAGGTGATGGGCAGGATTGATCCACAGAAAGGATCAAAAGGAAACCTTTGGCTGCCTGAGAAATCATCCCGAGTTTGCAGCGAACATTTTGTTTGTGGAGCGCCATCAATGCAAAATCCCGATCCCTCTCTCCACCTTGGTTATGAATTTAAAAAGTTAATGCCAAAGCGAAAGGCACCAGCTGTTTCACCAAGAAACACCTTCCACTGCAAAGTGACCAAGACGTGATGTTGCTGTAAAGCCACAAGAACAACAAAGTGCGAGCTCAGTCTGTTTGTCTTCTGCACCTCTCGCTTAACAAACGGGATTTTGCTTTGATGGCGCTCCACATACAAAATGTTTGCTGCAAACTCAGGATGATTTCTTGGGCAGCCAAAGGTTTCCTTTTTGGTCCTTCCTGTGTATCAATACTGCCCATCGTCTTCGCCTTTTACTATTTTTCAATTCCGTTGGGAAGGGAAACAGTTTGAACGGAGGTTTGCAGTCACACAGATCTGATTCCATTTTGCAGTTATGAAGTTCGCAAACTTCCGAAATCCGTTTTCCCACTGCTCGGACATCCAACAACCACACAATTACGATGTCAAAATCCCAAAACTAAAATTTGACAATATCAGAACCAGAAACAAAAGCGATATGGTTCCAAAGACTTGAAAAGATCAGATTTTACAAGACGCATCCTACGTACTGGGAAATCAAACATGGCAATTTGATGCTCGCTTTTTCGGAAGACCCTTCCCAGTATGCATTGCGCGATGACCAGAAGTTCGAAATTCAGGATTGCATGTATTGCTTGTCCATCTACAGCTCAAATGTTAACATAATGTAAACATATATGTAGGCCTGCCATGTTATTTACTGTTATAAAAATTTGCATTCATTTAAGTTACACAATACAGTTTTCTATATTGCTAAAATGTCATTGGTCATCTCCTTATCTTTTTCTGAAGCTGTATATCACACTTCAAATTACTTTAATGTAACAGAACTATGTATTTGAACAATATGCATTGTCTTTGAACCCTAAAAATATTCTGACATTGATTATGTACATTATTATAACACGTTTTAGCACATCTGCATCCTAAAGATAAACATTTATAGCATAACCAACCAAAACCAACCTACCAAAATCATTACCAGGCATTTCATTTTATCTCTAACTTGCCTGAAAATGCACAAACCCCGATCTCCACCGTTGCACACTGCTATATGTGATGTAACCATGCAGTCACATGACAGTGTAATTTTCATGCAGTGATTTTGAAAAACAACAGGCTTATCTCCTTCAATCATGCACAAGGGGCTCTTTGCACACACAGTAACTACAGTGGACTTAACAATATCAGCATTCTCCCTAATTAAGAACAGTAAGTCCACTTAGGCCATGCACACACAATGGACTGTGACAACACTGATTGCCCGGCTTGAATAACATGCTCCAAAAGAGAGATTATAATGTTACCTCTGACATTGTCTAATGACGGCAATTGGAAAGAAAAAAAGCAAGTCAATAAAAGTACAAAAACATCATGTAAAAGATTCCAAAGTAGATTAAAGATGCACTGTGTAACTTTTCTGGTGAAGGTTCTCCCTTGCTCGTCTTCATGGAGATGTTACTGCATGGAACAGTCACATTAAAAACATTTCTACCTCAGGCTTGAACTTTCTTGTAATCAGTAAAAGTAGTGTCCAGCTCTATGGAGAGGCGAGTCCTCTCACTGTGTTTTTCAAGGTATAAGAACATCTATAATGAAATAAATGCTAAATAGATGTGTTTAATGTCCTACTGTGTAACATTCCAGACAAACATCTCCATTGTCACAAGTCGCGAGTTCCAGATCCGCTAGAACAATTACACAGTGATCTACCTACCTGATCCAAATAGTTAAAGTACAAGAAAATATTTGGGGAAAATACATTTCACTTCTGTAGCCACAGATGCCCTGCCCTGTAAACCCGAACAATTAAGCTGTAATTTAAAAAATTTAGGTAACTTTTTTTTAAGTTTATAGACTGTTTTGAATTCATGGAAATAAATAAAAACATGAGAAAGTATCACACAAAATATTTAATTACATTTAGTAACAATAATTTTACATTCCTTGAAATATTTTATTATGGGTATTTAAAAAAAATGTATTGATACTAAAGATTTTTAGGTGATACTTATATTATTCATATTTTTAATTAATTAATTAAATAATTAATGTATTTTTTTTTTTAGACAAATACATATGTGGTTTCATTTAATTAGAAGTCTCAAAAAAAAAGTTCATGGCCGAAGTGAAACTGTCTGAAAGCTTCACTGCGCTTTTATCAGCTCGTTTCTGTTGCTTTTTCCTCCATTTGTTTGCAGTCACAAGAGCCTGTCCTTGTGGCAAAGGATCTATACTCAAAATATCTTTCAAATCGGGGGCTTTGAATGCACATGTAGGAACATCACTCTTGGATTTTTAGGTTTGAACTCCACAGTCATAGGCCCAAACGTTAAAAAAGTTAGGCAACCATTTACTTACTTAAAAAAAAAAAAAAAATTGCTTAAATAAAAAAATAAAAAAATGTTCTAACAAATATGCATATACTATACTTAATAAAAAGTGGAAAACATTTTAAATTTCAATGTTTTTATTCATTGCTAACAGAATACAAATTAAAAAATAGATTTGCTCCATTTCAATGGATAGAATGAACTGTAAAGAGGCACAAACACTTTTCCCCGATAAGTGACGCTTCTCTAACCCCCACCAAGCACTAATTCATACACTACATAGGCATTTTAGGTGTTGGTGTCTTGCCCAAGGACACAGTGGCTGCCTTTGGGTTATGGCCGAACATTAAATAGATCTGAAAATTTAGAAAAAAGAAAGGTTTGAATATTTCGAAACCTTACTTATAGACCAACCTACAGTCTGTTCTTATAGTATTTTGTATTGTATTTTTTGTTTGTATTTGTATCATCTATTATTTTTTGTCCTGTTTCCTTGTCTCTTATCTGAAAAAAATTAAAAAATAACTTATATCTGGATATTTTACTCACGTATCCTTGTTTCAAAAAGGTGAAAAACACAAAACTACACCATTTTGTCACTGATTCCATTATTAATCGGGGAGTAAATGCTTACAAGCTCACCTTACCTGACTCCCTTTCTCCATTTGCACGTTTAACCTTTTAAGAGTTTATTTATGCGCCCTCGCCATTTCTGAAATTACTTGTACAACAGAACGAACGTGCCCGATAATTGGAAATATGGTAATACGATACGCCACTAAATAAAAAAACTTATTGATGGTAATTAAATTCTTAGTGCTGGTTAATATTGTATGAGGTTGACACTTGACAGGTCTAAACGAAGTCTGAACCGGGGACAAAGCAGAGAAAGGTGATACTAGCGGTGAGGTGAGCTAAGGATCAGGGCACCGGTCTGGCCAACGCAGGTATGTGGGAGTTACGAAAAAGATTAATACGATAATTAAGACCCACTGTTTAATATTTGATGGAGGCTTGTTTAACACCTGGTATTATGAGTGGATAGTGTGTTGTTTACTTAGTACGTGACAGCAATTTGAGCTTTGTGAGCTTTTTTCACATAACAAGGCTGTCGTACTTACTTCTGGTAAGACTAAAATTAATTGAAAATCAGATACTAGTCAATAATAAAACTAGTATCGAAACTAGACACTCATTTGAGCAGGAATCGGTACTAAAAAAAAATCACATTCATGGTACAGATATCCTTTCCTGAATAGCTTTAGAATGATCTTGAGCTGTATCAATGAGAGGTTTTTAAATGATCATCGTGGTATTGGAATTGGTATTGAGCAGAAGTGGGGACTTTGACCTGGGACCTGGACTCGAATCAGACTTGAGTCACTATTTTTAGGATTTGAGACTTGACTTGATAAAACAGACAAAGATCTGGGACTCGACTCAGACTTGAGCCCTGTAACTTGAGAAGACTTGATGCTTCTCCTAAAAATATATATGTTTTTAGAAAATACTTTTCTCTTTACAGTTGATAAACGCGGTGCTTAAATTTACTGGGACATTTCTATTTGTTACTTTGGATGTAACTGAAGTACTGTGATGTGGTATCCTCAAATGTACTACAGTAATATACAGAACAATACAGTAAAACAGAGGAAACTACAAAGAACATGATCCTTCCATTTCAGTGCAGAATACATGACAAAATAAATGGATCGTAATTAATAATAATAATAATTTGTTCTGACTGTAATGATTCACACTTAGATCTAGTCAAGACTTTAAAAAAGAAAAAAATAGCATTTCTACAACTCTTATATAACTTCTCATATATAAATATACCATGACTTTAAATACGATTTAGTTTAAAATTCATATAACTTGCAAAAATCTAAGCTATATTTGGTACTTTTTTGGTTTATAGACTTGGTTTAAAGACTTGAAGCTCAAAGCAGACGACTTGGACTTGACTTGGACTTACAGGCCAGTGACTCGAGACTCGACTTGGACTTGCCTGTCTTTGACTTGGGACTTGACTCGGACTTGAGGTCAAAAACTTGAGACTTACTTGCAAAACAATAACTTGGTCCCACCTCTGGACTATTGATTATCGAGTGTATTCCTTAGTATTGAAATTGAGTTCGAAATTTTAGTATGATGGCGACACTACTCAAACACCCTCAAACCAGTACCTTCAGAACAGAAATGACTTCAGGAGGAAACATCTCAATTTCAAAAACTGTGTCCAAATAACAACCTTTGAAACCTTTTCTAGATTGGATTTGGTATTGATCTTAGCTGTAGAGCCTAAAGGTGCATTGTGTAACTTTTCTGGCGGAGGGCCCTTCAAATACTTTTCTCCTTGGAGATGTTATTGCTTTGTCTGGAATGTTCCACAGTATGGGATTAAACCTTTTAATCTTCATGGAAACCAAAAGCAGACCAAGTTACAGGTCAGATCTGTGGAGAGGCGACCCCGCACACAGTCAGAATTAGTATCATTAAGAAGTTGCCAATACATACCTCCATACACAGGCCATGATACGGTACATATCTCGATACAGTGCACTTTTGGTTCGTTATGATATATTTCAAATCAATTCTTTGCGGTTCAATAAAAAATAAAGGCTAAATCATGGGGGTGATACTAAAAGTCTTTGTTAAAACACTTCTTGTGCAAAGTTCATATGAAACCCAAACATTTTAATCATCAAAACAGTGAATATGTCAAATGTGTTGCATAAATGAGTTTCCTTCCTCTGAACAAGCAACAAAACTGTAGCTCTGTAACAAAATAATTTAGTAAAATACACCAAAAACTACTCTTGCCGATATATTGATACAGCAGCCCACGATATAGATACTGTATCATCACATTAAACGATACGATATATCGATATTTCAATATTTTTGCACACCCCTAGTCAGAATGCCTGTTTTTCTAGGTTTTTTTGAGCTATAAAATAATAAATGTAACGTAGAGCTGTTTATTGTCATACTGTGGAACATTCCAGGCAGAGCAATGACATATCCATAGAAACAAGAAGGTGATGGTCCCTCAAACAAAAAGTTACAGAGTGCACTTACTTAGTTGTCTAAAACATAAGTCTAAAACAAAAATGCTGTAATTTTGTCTGTAATTTGATGAAAACTATCTGTTTCTATCTGTTGCAGTCAAATCAATTAAAATTTAACTTCATAAATTAATGTGTGACTTTTTCCTAAATTTTCGGAACTGCGTACTTGGTTGCTCTATAATTGCACCATAATTATACGTCCAGTCTCTCTCTTTGGATAGCCCTGCAGAGCCGAGCCTGCAGTAACACATGGCACTGATGACTAGACCCTGGCTCATCCCATCTGCCGTGACCCAGACCTGAGACCCCAGCCTCACCCCGAATCCTCACACTCAACTGCTCCCCTTCTGTCGGACTTTGGAACGACTGTTGTTACGATTACCAGCCGAGAACTGAACCAACTCTTACACGGATACATATTTAGCCACCAAAAATGCAGGTTTGGTCTGGTCTTGTACGGTGGAAAAAAGGAGTCCCACTGAAATAACTGAACAAATTTAAGCCATGTTTATTTCTCCTCAAGTTCTGTTCTTTTTGATGGTTAATCTTTCCCAGACTTTCGGTGCACTGACAGACATGAGCTCATTCATTTGGATCTGACTCACCCCTCACTCTTTTTGTCCCTCTTTCTCTCTCTGTGCGTCTTTACAGCAGTCGCCCTGTGAGAGTCGTGAGCAGAACGGGGCAGAGGCACACACACAAACACACACAAACACACACCCAAACACACACACAAACACCTCCTCAGACTCCTGTCTTCAGCAGAAATGAGACTGAAGAAGGAAACTTCACAAACGCCAGTGAGAAAAAAAAAAATGAATCTGAAACCGAGTCCTGCACAATAATGACATATTTTTGACAGCAGAGTTGCATCTAAATTCGTATTCGTACTGATGAAAGTGTAATCATAAATTTTCATTTCGTGATTGTAATTCTTGATTTCATAACTTTTCAATTCATATTCTGATGGATAAAATACACATAATACATTTTATGTATGACTACACTCATTCGAGAGTATACGAATATTTATTTTATGCTCAACTACAAACAAATATGCATGAATTTCTCAAATATGTACAGATTTCTATCCTATGCACACAAATATTTCTGAAAGCTTTCTTACTCCACACTAATGCCTGTTCAAACCGTGTATTCAATCCTGATCAAGCGTCACGTTGTTCGTTGAGAAGCACATTGAGAAAAATTAAGTACTTCAGAATGCTTTTACTGTGTGATTTGTGATTTATCACCGGCAGAGGTGGGTAAAGTGTGGAATGTTAACCGGGTCCAGGTTTAGCTTTGATATAATCACGGGTTAACGGGTGGGCATGGTGCTGTACTGTGCAGGTGCGGCCGGGTGCAGGTCTCCAAAAATGGACCCATGCAAGCCTCCGATCTGAAACTCATTTGACTTTTTAAATTCTAACAAAACATTTCTTGATTTTTTCCCCCAAATATTTCTTGTATATAATAATGCGTCTTTAAAAGTGTATAACCATTGGTCAATATTATTACATGCCTATTAAAAAACACATTATGTTTAGTGATTCCCTCATACCTTCACTGGTGTGTCTGTCTCTGAGCACTGCGTTCTTGGAGTTACAGCTGTATCCTTCGATCTCGTGCACAGACGAGGCTCTCCTCATGCTGCTGATGCTTCCTCTGGGAAATGTGTTGGACAGAGACGTGGACGACTGGTGCGGCTCGGCCTGGTACAGTTTGTCCCACAGGAGTTTAGGCGAGGAATGGTCCACTGGCTCAGGACCCCCTATACTGGCCTGAGAGAGAAGAGGATATGATAACTAATGTTTGTGTTGGAATTATTGTGAGAAAAAACATCACAACAGTTATTGAAACTTACCAACAACACTGAAATCCTTCATTGTCTTTCATTACCACTGTTTAATACATTAATATTACTATATAACATCTTTTTAAAGTCTTTCTGTAGATTAAGATTAAGAGTAGTTTAAATGAAAATTTGTTTGTAACATAGGTTGTGCTCATATTATAGAATTTGAGAGGAAGCCCGGGGCCCATACAACACTATGGGCAATTTAATCTTTAAACATCCACAAATGTCAGACCTTTTAATTATTATTAGTTTGAGATCGACTTCACAAACTTTCCACATTAATCTTGTGGTTTAAGATTAATGGCACCATCAAATTTGCAATCTTCAACACCAAATTTCACTGCAGAGTTATGAGCTGTCTCCCAACTACCAAATATAGTGAAGTTAGAAGGACATCCCACAATTATTTAGGGGTATTTCATCCCTTCTGACCACAGGAGGGCAGCCCCTTCCCTTCGCATACACGTAGTGAACACTTAGTCATCCGGGGTTCATCGAACCATAGTTACATTTATAACATTTGTTTTAGTTTTTCTGATTGTATTGTAATGTGGATAATCATGGTCAGTGTTTAAGTGAATACTCGTCTGTACATGTTCACCTGTGAGGAGTGGTGGCTGGAGCTGATGAGGGCGTGGGTGTCGTTGGCCTCCATGGGGCTGCAGATGCTCTTGGTGGGGGAGGGGAAGCTCTGGAGGGCCAGGCAGTCGTCCGTGTCTTTGGGAGAGTCCACCACCATCACAGCGTCCGGGTCCTCCTGTGGTAGAGACTGCTTATTGGTGTTCATCAGGCTCAGAGCCGCCTGGCGGAATCGAAAGAATCGGCTCCTCCCTGGGTGTTAGAAGACACAAATATTACAGTTAGTAAAATTACATTTCTGGTGTTCAGCAGTATGACATTACATTTTTCTGTCTCCATGGATATAAGCAGGTGGTTAAGTTACAGGTGAGGTCTGTGGAGGGACGAGTCCTCTCATAGTGAGAGTGCATTTTAAAGGTATTTTAAAGAAATGAAAACACCCACAATTAAATAATTGCTGGAAAGATGAATGAATTTTGGTAACACTTTATTTTAGGCTGCACTTATAAATATCTAACTGCCCACTAATTAGCATAGTTGTAAATGTTAATTTGTCATTAATTAGTATTTATTCAGCCCTTATTAATATCCAATTCCCAATAAGCTTATTCTGCTATTAGTTAAACATTTACAAACACTTTCCTATTAGTACACTCCTTATTACTGCTTATTAGTATAATACTAGGCCATTTTTGTATATAAATTATGATTCTGATAAGCTTTTGGCGCAAATAAGTAAAACCTACATTTCTTGTGCTACTAGTCCTTAACAACACCCTTATTACCAAAAGACTATGTTAATAAGTGCACTCGAAAATACAGTGTTACTGAACTTTCCAGGCAAAGGATTGACATCTCCATGGAGAGCAGCAGTTGGTGGACCCCCAACCAGAAAAGTTTGTCTTCTTCATAATAGTAGGTTAGGTTTACACAATACTGTATATGAGAAGTGGGAAAGTGGCACTAACTGAAGATTATAAGGTTTGATTGGTTGTAAATTCAGTTGCATTAAATTTCAGCGTAAGATCAATCTGTATTTATTTCTGCAAATTTATGAAAACATACTTAAAACATAAAAAAAAAATAACTAGAGTGTATTTATAATACTGTACCTGAAAGCTGGTACAGTAAAAACTATTTTTAAAACTCTTGTTCTAAATTGGAACACAACAGTACCTAACTGTAATATTCAGGGCCTGATCATTTGGGGAATCTGTTTCATATTGTAATACGCCAAATAGAGCAGCCCATATTCTTATTTCTCACTTAATTGGTCTCTGTGGGGATAAGCACACTTCATCTTACTTTTGATATAAAGCCTAAAATTCTTATGTAACTGCACAGGAACACATGCAATACTACAAGAAATGTGTCCCATCAAAAGTCCAAGTACTTCCTGGTGCTTCATGGGACAAACGGAGCATTGTGGAAAGCGAGATTGCGTTAAATGTGCACTGTGTAACTTTTCTAGTGGAGGATTTGTCGAGATGTTATTGCTCTGGTAAAAAAAAAATGTACGCCAATAAACTTTGTGTATTACTTTTGTTTTTTTTTCAATTCTGATGTTTCTATGTCTCAAAAAACTTGCATTTTTATAGTGGGCAGCGTCGCCTTTCCACAGTTCTGACTTGTAACGTGACTTTGTGGCGTTTCCCACATGTCACCTTTAAAACTGATATGTTTAATGCCATACTGTGGAAAATTTCAGACCATAAAATAACATCATCATGGAGACGAGCAAGTGTAGACCCTCACGAGCCCAAAATTGGGAATAAAATCAGAGCTAGACCATGAAGTAGGACTAAACCAAGTCTACATCTGAACCAGAACAGAAGAATACTGACTTTTAAACGTCAAAGTAACAGATTTGCAAAAAAATAAAATAATAAAATAGATAAAAAATTGAAAAAGTACAAAAACTTCAACTGATTGTCCCTTACTAATAATAAAACACAAAAATAGTCTTAATTAACAAGGGCTTTATTCTCCACATTGCTGACCTGAGATTAAATTGCGCTGTGTGGATGAATAAGGCAACAACAGTGATTTTGTCTTCACTTTTTCATTCACTTGTCAAACCTAAATCCACTTGGTTTGTTTATTTCCCATTTTTCTCGGGCACCATCTGTTCACATGCTCCAAAAACACGAGTGTCAGGTGCAGCTACAATTCACTGGATGTTGAAAAATGCACATGTTTTGCTACAGCTGACATTCACTCATTTTCTTTTGTTTCGTTCATCAGCTCATTTTTTCTTAAAGGTCCTATATCACGCAAAACTGACTCTTGTGAAGTTTAAGCCGTGTTATAATGTTGTTACCTCTTCAAAAACAAACCTGGAGCTGTGTTTTGTTTCATTCACACATGTTTGAGTAACCCTGGATTATTAGTCTGAATCCATAAAGATCAAAATGCTCTGTTCCACCTTGTGATGTCATGAAGCTTAGTAGAGTTTGGTAATTCAAGGGCTGATCTCATCCAAATGATTCCACTGGAGAAGGTAAAGACAGTATACTTTAGTCCTGGTTTAGTCCTTGTTTAAACTTAGTTTAGACCTGGTTTGACCTGTTTTTAGTCCTGATTTTAATCCTGTTTTAGACTTGGTTTTAGTCTGGTTTAAACCTGCTTTCGACCTGGTTTGAGTCCTGGTTTAGACCTGGATTAGACGTGGATTAGGCCTGATTTAGACCTGGTTTTAGTCCTGATTTAGACCCGGTTTTAGTCCTGATTTAGACCTGGTTTTAGTTCTGGTTTTAGTCCTAGTTTAGACCTGGATTAGAAGTGGATTAGACCTGGATTAGACCTGATTTAGACCTGGTTTAGACCTGATTTTAATCCTGGTTTAGACCTGGTTTTAGTCCTGATTTAGACCTGGTTTTAGTCCTGATTTAGACCTGGTTTAGACCTGGTTTTAGTCCTGATTTAGACCTGGTTTTAGTCCTGATTTAGACCTGGTTTAGACCTGATTTTAATCCTGATTTAGTCCTGATTTTAGTCCTGGTTTAGACCTGGTTTAGACCTGGTTTAGTCCTGGTTTAGTCCTGGTTTAAACCAGGTGTACACCAAATCTGTTTTTTCATTTTGGTTTTGGAGACAAAAAATGAAGCAAACAGTTGTTTTTTCATTTTCTTAATTTTGGTTTTATTTAGAAAAACGAATGAACGAATGATACACAGATTACACACTTTATTTATCCCAAAAGAAATTCACTTTTCAGGCAGCACAATAATACACAATAATAAGATCAGTAATTCAATCATTTTTATTGAAAAAAAAAACTACAGGTCTAAAGCACTCTGTTTTTGAAGTTTGTTTTATATACTAGTAAACAACGAATTTGTAACAATCCTCAGTATCCATCGATCTGAACTCCATGGACAGCTGAATTTATAGGTATCAGTTCTTTACAGTGAGTGCAACACTGAAGGCTCAATCTTTACACTAAAGCTATCACAGTATATTTACAACACTCGTTTCCTTCTACATGCTAAGATGCTCTGTCAGCAACACGTGTTCTGTCTCCCAACGCACCCAGCGGTCCGCAACATACGCACCCTTTCAACTCACTGTCCATACCGCTCTACTCATACCACAACTTCAAAAACATGAATTAGTTATAGCTACAATGCTACGTGTCCATTAACAATAGAGCTAGAGTGACCTGAGGTTCACTTGTGACACCACAGGCCCGGTTCAGCAGCCTCCTTATATAATGTCAGGGCCATCTGTTCATGTTGTCGGGGCAAAAGTGCTGATGTTACAACCCGATGACAACAAAGGCCCAAGCACTCAACAAGTCTCCCACATGGAGCCTGCTGACACCCGAAGGGGACAGAGAGAGGACAGGCCCACCGCTATGACGAGGACTCTGAGGAAGGCAGCGGTGGAAGAAGTTTTCAGTTTTGTTACTTAAGTAAAACTGCAGATAATGGAGAAATTAAAAATCTGAATCAGAATACTCTATCAGTGAAGAGCTGTGAAGCCATGACGTCAAACTCAAGCGTCTGTCTGGGTCCCTTTTGTGGTACAGCAGAACAGTAACCAAAGTGATCGAGATGGATGTAGACGAAGACAGACATGTGTTGGCAACGATTCCTGAGTTCGAGGATTTAAAGCACAGAGAACAAAGAGAATGGTGAATTTTATCAAGGGGAAAGATGTTATTGCCCTTCTTCCTATGGGATTTGGTGCATTACATATGTCACGGCCAAATAGCAGTGATTGGTGAAATAAAAAAAAAGTACCCGCCTACTGTCAAGGGAATGAATCCTAATGCTGCGAGGTCAGACGGTCTCCACGAAGTGAAACCGGCTGATGAATGAGGCTAGTAATGTTCCACAATATGGGAATAAACTTTTATAAGATACATTTATTCAGTTATGGGTGTTTTTATTGTTCAAAAATGCCTTTAAAAACATGATTTCTCACTGTGAGTGCTGTCGCCTCTTCACAGATCTCACCTGTAAATTGGCTTGGTTGCAACTCCTGCTTGTCTCTATGGAGATTGCAAAATTTAGGCTATGTTTATATGATGACGGTCTGGACAGAAGATGCAAAAGTGGCATCACGTCTTCACTTTTTATTCTGCGTTTAGACAAGCGTTTTCGGGAGGAAATCTGTGCGACTACGGTGACGTAAACGCATATGCCACATAAGCAGATCTGACCAGAGTTTTGCATCTTGGGCAGTGTAGACGGAAACGATACGGTGGAGTGTATTCAACTTTTCCACTCTGGAGGGTGGTTTCAGATTTTTGTGTTTTTAAGCCCCTGAAACGCCGTCACCGTCTAAACGAAAGGCACATGCGATAGAACATTTTGTCCTTTCTCTTGCTTTCTTGTGTAAACAGGCCCTCAATGCTACTTTGGAAAATTCCAGGCAAAGCAATAATGTCTCCATGGAAACAGGCAACTGGCCAGCCCTCGACCAAAAAAGTTACACAACGCACCTTAAAATATTAAACTACCTGTTTAAAAATTTACTGAGTAAAAAGTAAAAGTATTTTTGTGCATTTTGAGATCTAATAAAGTTTCAGATGTAGTGATTTTGATACAGATTTGTGCTGAACAGAAACAACTGAATCATTTGTTTTTCTAGCTGTTTTTATTTATATATATATTTTGCTCAAGCTACAAATCTGTAAAAAATGGATGCCTCAGCCTTTCAGCAGGCCTTAATGATAAAAAAGTACTTTTACTTTTCAGTCCTGTTAAGTACAGATAACTACAGTACTTTATTACTTTTACTTAAAC